AATAAGGAGCAGCCACTAAGGATTCCCTCTCCCAAGTGTTATGGAGTCATCTCTAAAAGTGGCACTGATACACGCAGCATAGTACATACCCTGGGAATGAGGCCCATACCCAGCCTGGTATGCCCCTCTTGCCCTTTCGGTAAACTGCTACAAACTAGAAAGAGCAAGGTACTAGACTAAGACCAGAGCCATGTAGTCCTCATGGTTGTACTGTAAGTCCCGGATGATCACTTATAGATAAGTTCTTAGGGAGAGGAATCTGAAGCATTTAGAAAGTAGCTAAACACTCCAGCCCCCTGTTTTTATGTTGCTAAAAAGTCATATTTTAATGTTTATTGTATATACCATTAGTCAAGTTACAAGATCATGGTTGTAGTTGAGCACTAGCTAAGCTACCCAATGCAATACCCTATATGAATCAAGGTACAAGTACAAAAGACTAGGATATCTTTAGTGGTAGTCAAAGTAGACACATGCGGTATGAATTAAATGTATTAAAGGTGTATAGGACAACAAGAATGATCCCATGCTATACTTGCCTTTTACACTTGATCAAACTTCCTCATAATTTGCTTCTGGTTATCACCTTCCGATCTTCATCGCTCACAAACAATTCTCGTTCTACTCATAGCAAGCACCATGCATAGACAAACATACAAGCAACAAATAAAAGCAACTAAGAACAATTCATCACACGAGAGAAAAAAAACATACTAAAAGAGAGCTCGTCGCTACGGTCACAAGATCACAAGAAACACCGAGAACGGAACTATCATTAAAAAGAATCGGCTACCTGGAGTTTTATATTATAAAAGAAGCAGTTACAATCTTGATTTATTTTAATTAAGAAAAAATCATATTAATTCAGATTAGTCAATTTTTTTTATTCAAAAACCAAGTTAAACCTAATCGTATTTTATTTATAAATGTTGCCGTATAAATTAAGCAAATTAAACTTTAATTTTGCAAGATAAAATAACATGTGGGAACATCTATTCGAATTATATATGACGCATGTTTAAACTATGCAATTTATAATTCAGAAACATGATTATGTTAGTAATTAATCATATCAATATTTGTATATAAAACACTGAAGTATAAAATCTATATGGATTTCAATTATAAAACTAGTTGCATCAACTTAATATTTAAATTATAAAGCTCAAAAACATTTAGCATCGCTAATAACACGTGGATCGCATCGATACAGTACTAACGCAACATGAATGGACTAAAACGGGTTAAGATGGTGATGAATCAGTGGAGGTTTAAAGGGTACAGGGAAAGTTGCTGAATATTCCATGAGCAGGTATCTACGAGATTTAATATGCATTGATTGGAAAAGAAAAGCATCAGATAGTTGAGTGGATGATAAATCTGCATGCGCTTGTGAATAGTACGGAAGGCTGAAGATACGTACATGAGAGGCAAACATGTGCACTAAGCGAACTTTCTGCAGAATCCTTGCATGCTAAATAGGAGGCGTGACTTGGTTTCCCCTGAAAGTAAAGGAAGGACGTGCAGCAGCTGCTTGCATCCGCGTTACCGTGTCGTATGGCAACAGGTGACTCGGCCGGTGGGTTAGGATAGGACAGCACGGGAACAGCAGCGCAACTCCGACGATGATGATTCTGGATAAACTGATCGTGCAGCATGGCATGGCTCTTGATTTTGAAGAAGACGACTAGCGCTCCTGGAAGCCAGCAGCAGGAAACACAGTTGTATATGCTAAACCGATGTGCTCGGCTACAGACTTGCAAAGGAGCAATTTCAGAACATCCAGGAGGAGACCAACACAGATAACAGAGGTGGTGAAGAGCTTGGGCGTGTGCTCACCGGCATTAGAAGAAGATCGGCGGCGGCGTGCGGCCAGGGAAGATGCATGTCGACGGAGCGGCCACGGTGGCACGGTAGCAACGTTGGCTCCAAGATACGTGGGGCGGCAACTGGGCCAAATGGCGGTGTCCACGCACGGCGAGGCCGGAGGTGGCCATGGCCGACCCGAGGTGACCGGCGTCGCCTGTGGGGTTCGGGCGATGGTGGCGTAGGCAAGATGACGAAGATACGTAGTAGAGAAAGGATGGATGGAAAAATCTAATTTACTACCTTAAGGATTCCCAAACTAGGGGCTTCTCTTACGGTAGTTTTTGTATACTTTGTCCAGGTGGTTGGTACAAATATATAGGGAGAAAAACTCCCCACCTCCACATCAACTAGGGATACGGTACTAATTCCACCTGCACTAATGGGCCTAAATAAACATTAAAGCCCATTAAAAAATAAAGATACGTGTCTTTGAGATTTATTTGGATTATTGCACATAGGCTTTGAGCATTGGGAAAAATGAGAGATTTATTATTTTCGGAATTAATTAATTTCGTGGATAAAATAATTCTAGAAAAGTCTAGAATTATTATTTAAGCCGCGAAAAATACTCCGAAAGCTCTGAAAATTCGAGAAAAATTCACAGAGACATTATGAAACATGAGGAACCCAAATAAAGTATTTGGAGCCCATCATAAGATAATTTGGAGCATCTAAAAATTAAATTATGCTCACAGACAAGTAGGAACAAGTTACAGAAAAAGCTGAAAAAATTCCCGAGAAGTTTGTAGAGATTGATTTACGGACGAGGAACTGCAAGGAGTGATTTGCGTTACAAAGAAAAGATTTTAGAAAGCTCCGAACGAAAATTTGAGCCGAGAAACAAAGAATTTGATTGTAGAAAAAGGTAAAGGCGTGCCGGAGAAGGAAAATCAACCTACTAACGCATTTTAAAGACTTTGCTCACTCTCAACACACAAAGAAGCAACAAGCAAACATCACATCATCCAAATGCCCGTCAAAATTAGAAAACTTTGAAAATTCACATTTTTCCTATAACTAAGTTTGCGCTAGCTCAAACTAAACTTGGTAAATTTTATTCAAATATTAAAATAATTTATTTTATTTAGTGTTTTCTATGCACAACCCAAAATCAGAAATTTTGGGATGTGACAATCACATTTAGGATCGATAGCCGTATTATTAAGAGGGGTGAAACTCGTATCGAAATGCGGTTATCAAAGTGTCATTAGATGCTCTAACTCATCGCATATGCATTTAGAATCTAGTGGAGTGCTAACACCCTTGAAAATGTTTATGAAAATATGCTATCACACATGCACAAAGTTGGGAGCTCATGAAATCTTTGTTCGCACCTGCCCATCCCTGTACCATCTTGCCCAGACGTCGTTTAGACGTTTTCTACCCATGCCTCTGCCAGTGGTTAGTCCCCATGAGATTTTCTCGACTTGAAGGTATGCACCGCCATGCTTGGACTTCCAAAGCATCTGATATGAGGTAGCTGCCGCACTACCGTAAAGGCAATCTACTGCGTTTGGTATCATAAAGTTGCCCAACTGTTCAAAGCAAATTTTTGCATAAAAGCCATGTTTCACGGCCGCCCCATCGATCATTTCTGTTGCCGAACCCTCAACTCCAGGTGACAAATCTTGATAAGCGGCATGGGGATAGAAATGCACTCCAAGTTTCAGATAAGGAAATTCACTCATGGGGCTTGTTTTGCTTCCACCATCAGCGACTACTCTCTGCATGTTGTTCCCATCACACTACGTGAAAAAGGTTTGTAGCAACGGCACGAATTTTTTATAGGGGCGGCCGGTGATGGAGCCGCCCCTATAGTGACGTGCTGAGGAGCCCAGAGACCAGCCACCCCTATAAATGGAACAGCAGGGGCGGCTGGTGATACGAGCCGCCCCTACAAATGGGTCTGATTTGTAGGGGTGGCTCACTCACCAGCCGCCCTTGGTGTTAGTATTTGTAGGGACGACTGGTGATTAAACCGCCCCTACAAATGCCCGACGTACACCAAACCAAAATATCATCTGCCCTCCTCTCTGTCTCTCTCCGTCTCGACTCTTCCTTCCCCTCCCTCTCTCTCTCTCTCTCCCTCGCTCGTTGTCCCGCGCCGCACCCTCCCTCTCCTCCGAGCCCCTCCTCTGTGATAATCAGTTTGATGAGATCAATATGGAGCTACTCTCTTGTATGTCAGCCTTCAGTCCTTCCAACTCCTTTGCTTCTTTTGATGCACGGAAGGTACGTAGATTGGCTGAATTTTATCCTAAGGACTTCTCCAACAATGATTTGTTAAAACTGGAATTGCAACTTGATAATTATATTGATGACATGCGACAAGATGCTAGCTTCCAAGGTCTAGACAACATTGTTGATCTCTCAGTTAAGCTTGTTGAAACAAAGAGGCACAAAGTGTATGATATGGTGTACTTGCTTCTCAAATTGATATTGCTTTTACCGGTGGCAACTGCAAGTGTTGAAAGGGTATTTTCTGCATTGGTTATAGTGAAAACAAAGTCAAGAAATAAGATAGGTGATACTGTTTTGGATGATTGTCTAGTCACATTTATTGAGCGGGATATTTTCTTCCAAGTGAATGAAGATGATATAATAGAGACATTCATGTCATTGAGAAAGCGGCGGATAAACAAGTAATATTGTAAGTCTCCTATTGTTATATTTCGAAGTATTTGTATTTCATTTGAACAATTTATATTAAGATTTGACGTCGTTTTACCGAATTATAATATGGTTTTACCGAATTATAAATGGTTTACCGAACTGTATAAGAATTTTTTTGCGGCGCATACCCTATGCAAAAATCCTGGGTCCGCCACTGCCTCCGTCTCTCCCCCATGCCGCCCCTCCCTCTCCCCCACGCGGTGACCCTCCCTCTCCAGCGGAGGCGCACGGCATCGCACCCCTCCCTCCTCCAGCGCCGGCAGTCGCGCGTGGGCCCGTCCCCCTCCTCCTGCGCCGGTGGCGTGCGGGACCCTGTCCCCTCCCCCCAGCGGAGGCACGGTGGCGGAGCTCGGTGCCGTGGCTAGGTGGCACGGCCTCCCGTTGAGGTCCAGCGGTGGCGGAACTTGGTGGCGCGGTCCCCTTCACCTTCTCTCCTCCGGCGCGCTGTTGGAGCCCGCATGAAGCACATGGTGGCGGCCCGCGAGGATGAGCTCGATCCGGCGAGGACCAGCCCAGACAGCAAGCCCGCCATGCCTACCGCTGGGGGTTCGCCGCCTGCCGACAGCAAGCCCGCCGGGTTCTCCGACCACGCCGACGGCCGCTCCTCCCAGCCCCAGGTTCGTGCGCGTGCCCCTGATCCGATGCCCTATAGTTAGGTGCCGACCGATGACGCGATCTGTGGGAGTTCGAGTTCGATGTGGGCTCTAGAGGGATAGATCCGATGTGTCGGATGTATTTGTTCTGTTGGGGCGTTATGGGTTCGATGTCTAGTGGGTGCAGCGGTTATTATTGCTAGCCTATGATTTCAAGTGGTGGTTGTGTGGCGATTTGATTCCCCACCAATAATTAATGCAAATAAAAGTAAAAACTGGTTGGTAAAGTGATGGTTCTGTACGAATTCATGTGGGTTAGTGAAGTTAGATGCCCAATGCCTATCAATTATGATAGGAAATCTTCTGTTTCTGTCAGTCTTGAGATTACTTGTACAACTTACCTCTGCTTATTATAATATATCATCTTATTCTGCAATCTATGTTTATGTTTCATAGTTCGTGTTGTGCAGATTAGCATACGAAGTAAGCCGCATGTTGGCATTTGATTGTTGGCCGGTTAAGGCTTCTTTTGACTAAGTGCTAGGTGCATTTTCTTTTGACCTATAGTTGGATTAGTTTTTGCTGCTTGTGGACTGATGGAGCTGTGTCAATCTTTGCCAACCTTTGTACCTGCTTAGTACTGGGTTGTATGTGCAGCTTACTTTTGCATATTTTTCTTCTGCTTTGACTTTTGATGATTTAGTTTTTGCTTGTTTTAAACTAGTTACTGAATTGGGAATTTTGTAACAAGTAGCCACCTAACTTGATGGGCCACATTCAGGATATTTGGAAAATTGTGAGAACATATTATTCGCATGCTCTTTTAGTTGTCTAGTAAATAGTTTCTGGGTTTCGCAAGCTAGAGCTCCAGCTCCAAGAAAGACACAGATTTGTTGGAGCTAGATATTTGTAGCTCCAAGAAATCTTGATCTGGAGCTGGAGTATGCCGAGATCATTTAGGTGAACCATTTTGCTTATATATACTAGTTTATTAGGCATTTATAATATTTCTACAACTTAATTTAGTCAGCAAACTAACACATCCAACCTGAATCTTGGAGTTAGATCAGTGCCAAAATCAGTCTGTTAGTGGTATTCCTTGATATTCCTAAGCTGCTAATATGCTAGTTTCTGATTCTTTCTTGGTAGTTTACTTCTGCTAGTTTCAAGGGATTCTGGAAATTGGTGCAATATTTTGACCAAGCACCACCTCCACAACAGGCACTTCCTATTGTTGCTGCTGGTGCCATCCCTGGTATGATTCTTCTTTACATATATTTATCCATAATTGGAATTACTCATCTATGATTAGTTAATATGCGTACAAATTAATAAAAATGATATTTAAATTGTTCTTTAAGCTTTATATATCAATGTTAATATATAAACTAGTGGTTCTGATAAGGTACTGAACTTTATTATGCCTAAGATTCTTTAGCGAGTTTGGCATTTGGCAACTCCGCTCTAATCTAAACTGTCTCCACAAAGAGTTATCCTTGTTAGGAATCAGATTTCTTCTGTAAAGACGAACTAATTTCATTTTGTGGAGGACACTCTCTGGTTTGATATCTTGTTCGTCTTCATATCAGCATGTGTTACATTTTTGGTAGTTTCATAGTTTGATTTTCTTGAAACAATATGCTACAACTGATTGGAGTTTTGAGGGGAAAATATGGTTTTCTATGTAGGCTTTTTAGCAATGGTGGTTTTCTATTATTTTGTTCTATACAATATCTTTTGCTAAGCTAGTTTCATCATCATTTTCATAAATTCTTCTGTTGATGAATTGCAGGTCAGCTTCCTGGTGTCACTGCTCCTATTACCGGGGTTGGGGTGCTTCCAAACTTGTATAATTTGGCTGCTGGACAGGTAATCCATGTGTTTCCTTTTTGGGTTTTTTAATTTGAGTTTCAACCATGAATGGTCATTCTGTCATGATCTGGCATCCAAATTTGATAATCAACTGTCCTTGTTTCTTGGACACACTTGTATCTTGTATTATTTGATCATGTTTGTTGCTTTCTAATTTTGCTTGCCTTGCATCAGTTCAACCCCCTTGTTATTCAGCCACAAGCCATGACACAACAGGCTACGCGACATGCTCGGCGTGTCTATGTGGGTGGACTTCCTCCAACTGCTAATGAGCAGGTAATTACTTGGATAGCTTAATTTTTTTTTTCACTTGTTCCTATTTGATCTTCTATATCCTTACCAGTTCATTATTTCATACAGACCGTTGCCATATTCTTCAATGGAGTTATGGCTGCTATTGGAGGAAACACAGCTGGTCCAGGTGATGCTGTTCTTAATGTCTACATAAACCATGACAAGAAATTTGCTTTTGTGGAGATGAGATCTGTGGAGGAAGCAAGCAATGCAATGGCCTTAGATGGCATAATGTTTGAGGGAGCACCCGTCAAGGTTAGAAGGCCAACGGACTACAATCCTTCCCTAGCAGCTGCTCTGGGTCCGAGCCAGCCAAATCCGAATCTCAATCTTGCTGCTGTTGGCTTAACACCTGGCTCTGCTGGAGGATTGGAAGGCCCAGACCGGATCTTTGTAGGTGGTCTACCATATTACTTCACTGAGGCCCAAGTGTGGGAGTTGCTCGAGTCCTTTGGACCTCTGCGTGGATTTGATCTTGTGAAGGATAGAGAAACTGGTAATTAGAAGGGATATGCCTTCTGTGTGTACCAGGATCTTAATGTTACTGACATTGCCTGTGCTGCTCTTAATGGCATCAAGATGGGAGACAAGACTCTTACTGTTAGGCGGGCAAACCAAGGAGCGTCTCAGCCTAGGCCAGAGCAAGAAAGCATCCTGTTGCAGGCACAGCAGCAGGTGCAAATGCAGGTATAAGGATGAAAACGGAACGGAAATATCCCGAACCGAACCGCATCGTTCTATATTTAATCCGATCGAATCCGTATTTTCTTGTCCGACTTTACCGTTTTCGCTTTCGCATTTGAGATGTTTCGTATTTCAAATGTAAAAGTAGAAAACGGTTTACACATTTTTCGACCGTTTTCTACTTTTCTACTTTTAATTTGAAATATTCCGAATTCAAAATTCGGTTTAAACCGAATTTGGCCAACTGCACAGGTCATACAGCCCAATTACAGGCTGCTCACCACGCAGCTGCGTTCTTTCTACTGGTGGCTAGCTGCCCTCTCTTATAGACGGCGCCCAGCCTCATCTCTCTTATTATGTATTTGGTCGTGCACTTGTTTAATGCTATGCACTTGAACTAGATCATGCACTTGTTAGTTGTGAACTTGTTATGTATTTGGTCGTGCACTTGTTTAATGCTATGCACTGTGGGTCGGTATTTCGTATTGAATTTTCGCATACCGACCGTGTTCGACATAATTCCGCTCGAATTGGTTCGTTTCCGAAATTCTAGATATTCCGTAAGTTCGTGTTCGTTTTCGTGTCCGGCTTGTCCGCTTTCGCTTTCGATTTCGTATTTCAAATGTAAAAGTAGAAAACGGTTGAGGAGTTTTTCGACCGAGTTCGACCGTTTTCATCCTTAGGTACAAGCAAGCACTTTTAGACTGATTTTAGTAGAATAATGACAATGTCTATATTATTATTGTTTCAATTCTGACTTGAATCTTTGTGAACAGAAACTCGTATACCAAGTTGGAGGTGCCCTGCCAACAAAAGTTGTATGCCTGACACAGGTATAGTGACAGCAGATGAACTGAGAGATGATGAGGAATATGATGACATTGTTGACGGGTAAAGCAATAATGTTCTTCTTGCAGTACCTGCTTTTCTCTATGCTATCAACAACTATTTGAAGTTCATAATGCTGGTAAAGCATCTTTTTAAGCACACCAGTGGTCAGAACTTGGTGTACTCAGTAATTTCTATACATTCCTATAGTGGTTTAAGGCAAAGATGATGCAATCTGCCTTATGTATTTCTATTTTTTTCTTAGTCTGAGTTCTTTGTGTGCGGCTATCGTATGTTTGACGAAATTATGAAAATTCCCTTTCCATATAAAAATGGTTTGCTCCATATGTAAATATATCTGACATAGTTAAAGTTCATATGGTTTTGAGGCAGAACAAGGTTGGTTAGTTTACTTGTTTATCTTTAATGCTAGTTGAAAAATATATGTTCTCGTCGAATTTAAATTGTAAATTTAAATTTTTTTGGCGGAAAAATAATTTGTAGGGGCGGTTGGTACTGTAGCCGCCCCTATAAATCGATTTGTAGGGACGGCTGGTGTTCCCAGACTGTCCCTACAAATCAATTTGTAGGGGCGGTCTGGGAACCGCCCCTATAAATCATCGATTTGTAGCCACCCTTTCATAGGGGCGGCTGGCAAAACCGCCCCTACAGATGTTTACCAGCCACCCCTGGAAATGGTTTTCTACGTAGTGACAGACAGTGTGACATGGCCTAGCAAATACACTTGGATAACAGGTTCCAAGTATACATCACATGGCAATGATTCTGACAATGAGCTTTTGGAATTGTAGCTCTGATAGTAGTGATGATCTTGTTGCTGGCAACAAAGGGGGTTCGGTCGAAACCATTTGGACCAGATGGTGTGATGATTGTTCTGGTGTTCAACACAAAGGCCAAAAATAGGATAAGCATTGGACACCCAGCACAACTCTTGTGTTGGTACCTGAGTGAGCTTTGTCTTCAGTCTCGAACAGTCTCGACTGTTGAGCCTAAGTAATAAAGTATGAACAGGTCCAGGCATCCGACTGCAATCCTGACTATGTCTGTACTCTCCGAGAGCCGTAAGTTGAGGGCAAGAAGGAAATTATTCTCTGGTGTATTGGTATCTTCAACTAAGAATATTAGGCCAACCTCCATCCCATGCTCTTGTAGTGGACTACGGGGTTGTAGAAGAAATGAGAGATGTTGACCATTGCTAACAAAGCAAAACTTTGTACCTCTGCCAGCGATAAGATGGCGTATAAGAGGGTCAGAAAACATGCATCCGCGTGGTGTTCCACCAAGCTCCACGTATCTCAAGAATTCGCTCGCACCTTGTGCAAACCATTTGAATCGCCGGGCAACGATGGATGCTTTCAGCCCATCATCGTTACTGTGACTAAAGATTAATGAAACAAACGACATGGCAGTATGAGCAATCCTCTTTGGAAAGGAGGAGCTCCTTACCGCTTGCTGTACTTCTTCCTCTTCTTGCAAGCGCTGCCTACACCTGCACAGAGTGTTGTCGCACTCCTGTGAGGCGCGCTTGAGCTTGCTCCGCCAACGCAGCAGTGGCACGCTGGTGACGTTCCACTTGTTGGAGGTCTCAAGGGCGGCCTCCATCTTGATGTGTGCCATCTCCATCCTCTCGATGTTCTCCTTTGCATCTGACTTCTCCTGATAACCCTCCTTGATTCTTGATAAGACTTGATTAACAGCCTCCTGGGCCACTGCAGAACTTACCATCTCTGCTGCCATTAAGATTGATCAAACAAACCTGCTGTAGAATCGGTTGTCCTGTATGCAGAGGACGGAAGAAAATTATTCGGTACATATATGAGCCAGGTTGTCCCTGTTCATCAGATTAAAATCTATAATCGATGTTGTAAAGTGCAAGTGCGGAGAGGAAATCAAAACCTGGCGTAGTTGAACACTTGAACTATCTGTAGTGTCACAGAAAGATGTACCAGCACTTTGACACTCGACAGTCTATCCTGCTCAGCCAGGCAGTTCTGAATTGTGATCATACATATTATGTTCATCGTTTACTTTGATTAGATGCTTAGTATAGCTAGATTATCATTATGTTTATGCATAAGTTCGCAAAGCGCTTACTCTAAAGTACACGGGGTGAGTGGTTGACATTGTGTAAGCATGGTGCTTATACGTTGTTTACCTGCGGATGCACCCGATATTCTAGGCCATGTGGTTGATCGCGAGTGTGACACTCTCGTTGAGTCCTTTGTAGTCCACTCCCCGAATGTAGGCCAAGTAAGATCTAGTTAAGAAGGAAGTCAGGCTCTGTTTTTATCTTCCTTAGTAATATCCCTTAGATGTAGATATAAAGTTAATCTTTTGTCATGATTATTAAGTATAATTGCACTAATCAATGTATGCTTTGACTTGTAATTAAGAATGACTTAGGAATTAGTTTCTCTATTGCATCTACTTAGTCTTGCTATTGTTATCATAAGGAGTAACTCTTAGTGTTCATTTATCATTTATTTATCATTTATATATTATCCTATCTCTTGATTTACCTCTGCTCAGAGTAGATGGTTGGTTTCTCCATCATATGTATAAGTTATCAATAATTTCCCTTTGCCAGACCTTCCCTGAGGTAAAAGTATAAATAGCGATACCTGAAATACTCCCGGGTGAAGTGCTACAATGGTATATTATTTGTGCGCTTGCAGAATTTCTTAATATATATATATTTTTTTTTCTAAGTGTCATTAATAAATACCAACAATGGACCGCGGGCGGTGAAGGACGGACGCGGAGGCTTGGGCCAAGGGACCGAGGTGCCGGGGTGGACCGTGGACAGCTAACGACACTTGGCAACACTGACGAGCAAGCGTACATGTGGAGCTGCGTATACCGTGTTGACAATCCAAGATGGCGGTTGACCAAGTCAAGCGGGGCACGAGGACTTGGTGATGGGGCAGTCAAGTACAGACGGAGACACGCTTCGAGATCGTGAAGGAGGCATAGCGGATAGGCTTCTCCAGCTACGTTTGGTGGTTTTGGCCTCAAAACCACCGATGGATGGTTGCCAGGTTTGGGCCTCAAAACCTGGGATGGAGTTCGAGGCGGCACGTGGCATCATCGGGAAGCTTGCGTCGAGGCGAAGAATTCTCATGAAGGGCTCGTGGCCATCAGATGCACGAATCTCTACTTGGATAATTTTGCCCCTCGGGTTAAGTGGTTTAGCCAAAACATCTAAGGGCTGGCTTAGGCATGTGTAATAGCTTTATAAATAAGAGGAGGGCTACTCCAAGCCAGCTATCTCTTTTGGTTAGTATTTTTCATCTCTTGGTCTTAGTTTTCTTCAGTTTAGCTAGAGTTCACATCTGAGAGAGATCCGCAGACAAAGAGACTGAGACCTCTGTCTGCGTTCCTGTTTTGTAAGTCCAAATCTTGTAAGACTGAATTCTTGAGAATAAAGCAAGTTGTTGGTTCTTCTTCTTCTAGTTCCTCCTGTCTTGTGCTTTTGATGGATTTCTTGATCCGGTGTTTTAAGAACCGATTTGATTCTGAGTTTTCTAGGTGATGATCTTTGGGGGATAGCTTCTAAGCACCCTTGGAAACCCCTCTGCAAAGTTTGGAATCAACAAGAGTTCATTTGCATCGAAATCACCTTTTGAAGGGGATCGGGCTGCTGGGACTGTAGAACCAGCCCGGTTTGCAAACCAGCTAGGCCAGTTTTGCTGCACAGTTTCCGCCAAGGAGCGGTCGCCGGTTTTGATCCATTTTTCGTCCGTTTGACTTCCCATCTTTTCCACTAAGTTCTATGAGGTGTCTTGAGTGTATCCGGTCACCAGTTGGCTTGTGTACACTCCCGTGGGAAGGTTTGGTGTTTTGAGTGCTTTGGGGTTTGAATTGGGACAACAGCCAAAATCGGAAGAAAATTATATTAAGCTCCATTCACCCACTTGTGTGGTCGTCTTTCTCGGTCCTTCAATATCTGACTTCTCCTTGTACCTCTCCTTAAATCTTGATAGGACTTGACTACAACTCCTGGGTCAGTGCACAACTGACCATCTCTGCTGCCATTAAGATTCATCAAGCAACATGCAGAAATGCACGGAAAGAAAGTAAAATATTCCATACATATATGAGCCAGATTATCCGTGTTCATCAGTTTAAAATATCTTAAAGTGCAACAGTAGGGAGATAATCAAATGCTGGCATGGTTGAACGTTTGAACTACTCAGCAGTCGACACCTCGGCAGCACTCACAGGAGTTCGGAAATCTATCCTGCCCAGCTGGCCAGCTGTGAGTTGTGACCATACGAATCATATAGGAGAGGTACTTCCCCCAATCCCAAAAACAATGCAATTATCACTTTCCAAGCAACCAAAGAATTTCAAATTTGACCAAATCTATAAAAAAAGTACTAACATCTATGATACCATTACCGAATAAATAACATTAAATTAATTATGGAATATATTTTACTAATAAAATATCTAGAGACATAAATGTTCACATTATTTTCTATAAACTTGGTTAAACTTAAAAGTTTTGATATCTCCAAAAATTAGAATTACATTTTTTTTGGGTCCGACAGAGTACTTTATTTATTTTTTTAATGAAAGAGTACTTTATTTGTTAGAGGGACATCGCAGATATTTGTCAAGAGTGATATGTACGCAAGAGGACGAAGCAGCTGTGAGGTTGACGTCCAAATCACATCATGAGACCGCGAGATCAAAGGAAGTAGAGAGCAAAAAGCTGTGAGGTCGACGTACAGATCAAATCATGGAGACTTTCAAAGAGAAGTGGTCCTCATCCACTTAAGTGCACTATGGTCTAAACTACTATGACCTAAACAACTCTACCACATGACCCAAACTACTCTGACCTAAACAACTAGGTACTCATGCACTTAAGTGCATGTAGCACCCGATTTTAAAAACAAAACCAGATTCGCATCATATATGAGTCTAGGAAGTCAAATATCACATATAGTTACAAATAAATGTAATATCAATAGACAATGCTCAATATATAACATACTTAGTATATAGAATATAACTTTAGATAGCAAACAGCGGAAAAATAGCTTCAATCTTCGGGTGAAGACTCCACTTCCACAGAGACAACTGACTGGATGATCACAAGCATAATTCCTCCAAACTAGCAATCTGATACCAATCCGGATTTTTATCCAAATATGTGAAAAATAAAGGCAAGCGTAAGTACATGTCGTACTCAACAAATATAACATGGGGTTCGTTAGGCTCAAAAGGCTGACACTGGTTTAACTGCGATTAGCTTTTAATGAGTCATGATTTTAGCAGTTGGGTGGCAACAAGTTTATCACAAGCCCGTAAACACATGATCAGGTAAACATGAATAATGAATAGCATAAACAATTAACTATTAGTGAGTATCTTCATCATCCATATCATTAGTGTTCATCATCTATTCCATAAGGGTTCCAAGGCCGCTCGAGACCATGAGCACGGCTGATATACCAATTTTACACTCTGCAGAGGTTGTACACTTTCACTGTGAGTCATGATTTACCCTTTCGCCCGAGGTCGCGAGCCTCTTGACCCACTACCAAGGAAGATTGGCAGGGTTCACTATGAAGCCTTTCAAAGATTCATCTAACAAGTTAGGGCCATTAGATTCACTCGGCAAACAGATGTAGAGCCCTCCTTCCCGATGGCACAATGACGCGCAGCCTATACACAAGGGGACAGAGGAGGTCGCACTATACCCGATTCGGCAAGCCATTCTTACGCCAATAAAGGTAACCACTAACAAGCTAGAAAAGGTCATCATACTGAGCTAAAGCCAGAGCCATATAGCCCTCACAGCTGTACTTTAAGTCCCGGATGATCACTTACAGATAAGTCCTTAGGGAGAGGAATCTAGAGCACCATAAAACAGCCAAATGCTCTAGCCCCCTTGTTCCATGTTGCTAAAAAATATCTTTTAATGTTTATTAAAATAGACCATTAGTCAAGTTATAAGATCATGGTTGTAGTTGAGCACTAACATCATACTACCCAATGCAATAACCCAAAGGTATCAAGGTACAGGGTACAAAATACTAGGAAATCCTTAGTGGTAGTCAAGGTAGACACATGCAGTATGAATTAAATGATTAAAGGTGTATAGGACAACAAGGAAGATCCCATGCTATACTTGCCTTAAAACACCGATCCTTCGGTAAGCTTTAACCTTCAACGTTCTTCTTCTTCTTCTTGATCACCACGTAAATCTCACCGACTGGACGTAATCATAAAGCACCACACAAGCATCTATACAATCAAACACGAAGCAAACAATAGATCTAAATTAGAATAGTACACCAAACATAAAATCAAGATGAAAAGTTTGTAAAACGAATCTACGTCTCGCTACGAACACACAGACGCGAAAAGCACACTACTCGGAGCTACGGTTGAAAAGATACAACTACCGATAGATTTGCTTTATACGTAGAAAAGAAAACTATAAGCTTCATTTATTTTAACTATATAAAAGCTTAGATAAATTGAATTAAGTCAAATTTAGATTCGAATTATAAAACTAAAGTAAAACAAATCATATTTTGTTTATAAAACCCAGTTGCATAATTATTATTCAAATTAGAGTTTAAACCATGAAATTTCAGAAATAATGACATGGTAACCACTGTTAGTAACGCGTAGATCTCATCGCGATGAATCTAACGCAACTTGAATAGGTCAAAACGGATCTAAAACATAGAAGATATGATTTAAACAAGATTTCTTTTATTAAAATAATAGATTAAATCTAACCTCGAATTTTAAAAGTTGAAAACATATTTAACAGTAGTATGAACATGTAGATTATGGAATTATGAACCTAACGCAAGTTGAACGGATCAAATCGGAGTTAAAACGGAGAAGTTATGGCTAAAACAAAATCAGTGGCAAATATGTAAATAAGTGAAAACGAATTTTGGATCTCAACCGACTAAACTACGCTTTCCAAAGAATAAAATGTAATCTGGGATTACGCTTTGAACTGCGGGTTAATTTGCCAAAAACAGAGGGGCTCTTTAGCAAAAAGAACAACGAAGGGGTATGTTCTAATCTGGGCCATTGATCTAAAAACGGACGGCTCAGGATGATTGTGCATTTCCATTGTATTTCAAGCTTTGTTTTTGTAAAGGAAAACGGCCACAGATAGAGCATGACGTTGGAGATGATGTCATCTAGCAGATTGGAACAGCGCAATGCATGCATGGCTCACGACCGGTGGTGCCATGGCCGGTGACTTCGACGCAGCAGCGTTCTTGCGCATGCGTGCAGAGGGAGCGCAGGGAGCTGCGCGCTCATCTCGGCTGTGGTCTGTGGGTCAGGCACGGCGCCGCTGGATCAGTTGGCACTGGTGTGGGAGGCGGTGGCACCATTGCTAGCGAACTGGAGCTCGGAGGACATCGTCACAAGCATGGGGAGAGACGAGGAAGCACGGAGTACTCACATGGGTCGTTCGTGGTGTCTCGGAGGAAACGGGAACGTCCTAGTGCTCGACGGGACGGCTCTGTCGTCCTAGATGCGAGACTCGGCAATGGTCTAGGCATGACGGCGAAGCAGCAGAAGGCGTCCGCGGCGGCGGCTCGAGCGAAGGGCAGCTACGGCTTGGCTTCCAAGCTGGACGAGGAGGCGGCACGGCTTGAGGCGAGGGCGGCGTGCTCTCGGGTTTGGGGAAAACGACGCGGCTCAGCTGATACTTATGGGGGGGTCGATTTGGGACGCATGTAAGGCGGTGTCGTGGCGGCGTCAAACTCCTCGGCGGCGGTGGTGGATTTTCGAGTCGGGGCAGAGTCCGCTCAGGACATGGCTGGAGGAAGGAGGCGGCGTGGGCTCGGCCAGCTATTTAAGAGCTGGCGTGTCTTGCGACGCACGCAAAACGGAGGGGGAAGCGGGGTGAGCACGGACTCCACGACGGTGTCGGAGTCCGGTTCCGGGACAAGAGGAAGAAGACGGCCCTGACCGGTGGGTCCCGGACGTCAGCGGCTGCGCACGGGGAGGGAAGAAAACACGGCGTCAGAGAGAGTGCGCACTGGGCCGCGCGGAAGAGCAGGAGAAGAAGAGGCGCGGGCGTGCTTGCTGGCAGGCCGCGGCCATCGGCCCAAGAGGAAGCTGCGCGCGGGGAGAGCGGGCCAACCCAGCTGGGCTCCGGCGGCCTGCTGGGTTGCTGTGCTTCCAGGCTAGAAGGGAGGGGAGAAAAAAAATGAGAAGCAGGCCGGGCTAAGGGAGGAAGCAGACCATGGCGAGAAGGCAAGGGCTTGCTCTCTTTTTTTCCAAATTAATTTTCCTAATTTTTTTCTCAAAAGCATTTTGAATATTTTCAATTTGAATAAAACCCACACAATTCAAAGAAACAAATGCACCAGCATGCTTGTGCAAACATGTTGCTACATTAGGATAAATTTTAAATTAACGAAAATTTTCATTTTCCTATATTTCATGAGTACGAAAATACAGAATTAAATAATTTTAATCCTATTTTCAGAAGAGGCAAATTTTAGGGTATTACAGTGCAATATGCTAAACTAGATAAAAAAGACACATATCCAACGCTGATGACTCCTTCATTTCTTTGCTTAGTCTTGACACTAGCTTGGAGATTCTACCACATGCCATTGAATTCCCGCTTCTCGATTATGATGTCAAAACTATAGCTTACAAACCAAGCCCCTGTGGTTTTGATGGCCACACTGCCAAACCAACTCAAGTTCGTGTAGCTCGTACACGTTCTCCAAGAACTCAATGCATCTCCACATTTCCCTCATTTGGACGACCAAGTCTTCCACAGGCCCTACCTTGACTTGATCTTGATACCACCTTGACTACGGTCAATGCGGTCTTTGTCACCTTTTACAAACCTGCTTTGTTGTCCTTGTGGTTAGTGTGGATAACATATAATCACCCTGACCTTGGTCTCTCGTTCGAGCATTCTCGTCCATCCTTCAGGGCCTATGGTACATCGGCATGAACATCTGCCTCACTTTCTCCACAACCATGCAAATATAGAAAACAAGAGACATGTTGCACCACCACCACTTCACACCTTCGGTTAGCATGAGCAAGAATGACACAAACAAAAAGACTTCACCAACGCTGACAATGAGACAATCACTCAATATACTGTAATTACAACGACACATCTCAATCTTGTCATCTCATTATCCCTATAAATAGCTAGTATATTCTTCAGAAAACCCCTATATAGTTTTATATTTACAAAACACACCAACGGTTCAACTATAGTTTGTCCATCAAGGTGCTGAAGTACAAGGAATTAAAAGTCCTTCAGCCATTGAACTTGCTGGACGACTTGATTGTCGTTACCAAAGAAATGTGATCTTTCAAAGAAAACAACATGATTGGACAGTCATGGAAGCAGGAAGTTTTCAATAATAATGGTTGCGGCAATTGTCTTCCTTTCTGAATCCAGTCCACCACTGAGCTCTGCAACTGGACAGGCGCATGTCTAATCCACGAGCAGATGAACTCATTGTTGGCACTGGCCCATCCCAGCACCTTCTTGCCCGGCAATCGTTTATGGTGTTTTCTACCTCGGTCTTCTTGAGCGGTTGCTCTCCATGTGGTCTTCCCAAACTGAAGGTATGCCCTGCCATGCTTGGACTTCCACATAATCTGATATGAGGTAGCTGCGGCATCCCTGCGAAGGCAATCTACTGCCTTTGGTATCATAATGTCGCCTAGCTGTTCAAAGGAAATTTTTGCATGCATGCCACTTTGCACGACCACCCCGTTGATCATTTCTGTTGCTGAACCATCGACTGCAGGCGACAAATCTTCAGATGAGGCATGGGCCAGAAATGCGCTCCAAGTTTCATATAAGGAAATTCTCTCTCGGGGCTTGTTTTGCTTTCAACACTGACAACTGCCCGCTGCCTGTTGTTCCCAACAGACAGTGTGACATGGCCCAACAAATACCCTTGTTTAACTGGTTCCATGTATATATCACATGGCAATGATTCTGATGATGAGCTTGTAGCATTGTAGCGCTGGGAATAGTGATGATCTTGTTGCTGGCAACAAAGCGGGTTCGGTCGAAACCATTTAGAACAGACGGTGTGAAGATTGTTCTGTCGTTCATCATAGCAGCCAAAAACAGAACAGGAATCAGACACCCAGGACAAGTCTTGTGTTGGTACCTGGGTGAGCTTTGTTTTCACAGTCTCGGTTGTTGACCTTAAGTGAGGTGTGAACAGGTTCAGGCATCTGACTGCAACACCAACTATGTCTGTACTCTCAGAGAGCCGTAATTGGAGGGTAAAAAGGAAATTATTCTCTGGAGCATTGGCATCTTCAAGTAAGAATATTAGGTTACCCTCCATCCCATGCTCTTGTAGTGGACTAAAGGGTTGTAGAAGAAATGAGAGATGTTGACCCTTGCTAACAAAGCAATACTTAGTTCCTTTTCCAGTGAGAAGATGGCGTATCAAAGGGTCGAAAAACATGTATCTGCATGGTGTGCCACCAAGCTCTACATACCTCAAGAATTCGCTCGCACCTTCGGCAAACCGTTCAAATCGCCGGGTAGCAGTGGATCCTGTCAGCTCATCATCCTTACCGTGACTAAAGATTAAGGAAACAAACGACCTGGCAGTATGAGCGATCCTCTTCGGAAAGGAGGAGCTCCTTAGCACTTGCTGTACTTCTTCCTCTTCTTGCAAGCGCTGCCTACACCTGCGCAGAGTGTGGTCACACTCCTGTGAGGCACACTTGAGCTTGCTCCGCCAACGCCAGGGCCGTCTCAATAATTTTGAGGGCCCTCGTGCAAACAAGGCACAAAGGGCCCGGCAATCTAATGTTTAATATTACGATTCAAATACATAGTACTACTAATAAGAGATAACTTGCAGCATATATTTAGTTCAATAAAAAATGACATTACATCATATCGAAGAAGCTAAAAGAGCTGTAAGATAACTATTATGGTTACCTCAAATGTAGTGTTTTAGTGCTTTTTAAAAAACCTCCTTCGAGCATTTCTTGATGCAAAATCTTCAATAACAATATCGAGATCAATTTTATCCAAAATATCCTTCTCAATGCTGCACATAGCCAAGCCATTTAATCTTTCTTGTAGCATAGTTGATCTCAAACAATTTTTCAATAGCTTCAATTTAGAGAAGCTTCTTTCGGCTGATGCTACTGTCACAGGAACAGTTAAGAGAATCCGATATGCAATAGAGACATTTGGATAGCAATCTAAATCTTTAACAAAGTGAAGAATCTCAAGTGCTGACATTAATTTATCTGGCAAAGTAACTTGCAGCACTTTCAATTCAGAGAAAAAATCATCTAACTCAACATCAGACTTGTTGTCATGAGAAAATTTGTTTACAAAAGTGGTGCAACACTTTCGTAGATCAGTAGCATCCAAGGACTTCAGATTTTCCGAGTTGAACAAGAAACCAAATATTTCTTCAAATTTCTTTAGCTGATCAAATCGACTAGTCAATGAAACAATTGCATGATCAACAATAACTAGGAAGTACTCTTCTTTGAAGGAATCTATAGCTGAACGTTGTAATTCTTCGGTTTCATCATTTTGTTCATCAAAATGCTTCTTTCTTTTACCTTGACGTTTTGTAGGAAATGTTGGCTCTACATCTATACTAGATGCAATGGATTTTGCGTCTCAATGCTAGCATGAAGCCTGATTCGTAGTCCCGGAAATATGTTATGACCCCTTCAATCTGCATTTAAGAGTACCATCCAAGGACACAATCGGAGGCGCAACTTTTTGCTCACCATGTTGATAGTAGATAAAATATCATCCCAAATAACCATACCAACTAAAAATTCAAAATTCTCAAGTGTCTGTTACCAATGATTGAGCATCACTCATTTGCTTTTGGGTCATCGGAAGATGTTCTTTCCACCTCCTGCAGAGTTGATCTTATTTGAGGGGCTTGATACCTGATAGGTTGCACACTCTTTATTCGACTCTCCCAACGAGTATCAGACAAGGGCTTGACAGTGAACCTCTCAACATTATCAGTCAAAATTTTCCACCTTTTAGTAGAACGTGAAAACAATGCATATATCCGTTGTATGACACCAAAAAACGAAATAGCTTTTCTGCAAGATTTTGCCATATCACAAAGAGTAAGGTTCAGACTGTGACATGCACATGGCATATACAATGCTCTTGGATTAATTTCAAGCACACGTGTCTGCACACCTTGATGTTTTCCCTTCATATTGGAACCATTGTCATACCCTTGACCTCTTACATCATCAATGTTCAAATCAAGAGTCTGCAATGCATCCAACAATACATTAAAAAGCCCCAATCCTGATGTGTCATCAACCTTTAAGAACTCTAGAAAAAATTCCTCTACTCTTGGAATGGCATTTGACATATTAACACAACGCACAATTAGTGTCATTTGTTCTTCATGGCTCACATCTGGGGTACAATCCAAGATAACAGAGAAATACTTGGAATCTTTTATAATCTTTAAGATATCTGTTTTCACAGCATCAGCAAGAATAGCAATTAACTCATTCTGAATACTAGGACCAAGATAATGATGATAAATCTCACTATTATGAATGCGCCTAATATGTTCTTGCATCACAGGATCAAATTCAGCAATCATTTCTACCGTGGCCAGGAAATTACCATTATTTGGTTGATAAAGTTTTGCATTTGATCCTCGAAAGGCTAGATTTTGTTTAGCAAGAAACTTCACAGCAGAAACTATTCTTACCAGCACTTGTCTCCAACGCTCCTTCTCTTTTGCAATTTCCCGCTGCATTTCATCATCAATTGTTTGATTTTTGCTTAATCTAATCCGAAGATCATTCCATGTATTCATGTTTGTCAAATGCTCCACAATGTTCTCATGCTGTTTTAGTTTCACACTCAAGTGCCTCCAATCCCTCACTCCTTCAGATGCAAAATTAGACTTGTTCTGATTTGATTTGAACAACTTGCAGCAAAAACAATAGACCTTGTCCACATGTTTAGAGTAAACCAGCCACTTCCTGTCAACAACTTCACCATTAGTTAGCTTTCTAGAGTAATAAGCATATGAAAAATGTCTATTACTAGGATCACTAGGGAATTCTAAATCCATTTCTCTCATAGGCCCTTTCTCAATTAAGATATCCCTTTTGCTATTATCAATATTTTCCCATGTTCTAGGATCAAAGATAGTCAACAGTGAATCTTCTTGTTCATCCATGTTTACATTTTCTGTATCATCCGAAGGCTGCAAATTTTCCTCCTCAGTAGCACCTTCATTGGAATCTTGTGCAATTATTGGTTGATCATGTTCCTGCCTCTGATCTTGAATGACTCCGGCATTTCTTGAACTTGAAAAAAACTTATGTATAGCACCCTTTTGCGATTCTTTCGATTGCTCTTCTAGTTTTCTTTTTTTCCTTTTCTCATAACCAGACAAATGTTTTTTTGGCGGCATCTATCATTTACAAAAAATATATTTCAATTAGAATTTAGAAATTAGATCCCTACGACTGATAACTGAACTAGAACTGCAAATTGTCAAATGCAATCACTTACTGCTAGGTGCTGGCCACAGAGTCACGGAGTCACGGCCGGAGTGCCTAGTGCCGAACTGACGAACTGAATTGAAAAAAAAGTGATCAGGGACAGGGAGGCTAGAGGATGGAGATCTTGTTAGTGCAGTCAGCCAGGCCCTAACTGAACTGAAATTACTTACCAAGTTACCGTCTTCGGTCCGGCATCTGCTGCGTCAAGATCAAGGAGCGGCCGAACGGGGAACTCCAGATACGATCACGGTCTCACGGATGACGGATTGGGGATTGATCGACAGGGGAACGCCAGGCCTGGGGAATGCCGGAACGGCCACAAGCCCGCAGCGGCACAGCAGCACGCCGTCACCGTGTCCAGGGCAAGGAAGTCACGCGTGAATACGAAGCGCTGGCCAAGCGGACTAGTTGCAGGATAATCAAATGGACCGTATGAACCTGAATAGATATACTATAGATGGGTATGCTCATGGGCCCCTAGGGCCATGGGCCCCCGGCCGTCGCACTACCTGCCCCTCCCTATGAGACGGGCCTGGCCAACGCAGCAGTGGCGCGCTGGTGACGTTCCACTTGTTGGAGGTCTCAAGGGCGGCCTCCAGCTTGATGTGTGCCATCTCCATCCTCTCAATGTGCTCTTTTGCATCTGACTTATGCTGACAACCATCCTTGATTCTTGATAAGACTTGGTTAACAGCCTCCTGGGCCACTGCAGAACTGACCATCTCTCCTGCCATTAAGATTGATCAAACAAACCTGTTGTAGAATCGGTTGTCCTGCATGCAGAGAAAGAAAGAAAAATATTCCATACATTTATGAGCCAGATTGTCCCTGTTCATCAGTTTAAAATCTATGATCGATCTTGTAAAGTGCAAGTGTGGAGACGAAATCAAAACCTGGCGTTGTTGAACACTTGAACTAGATGTAGTGTCAGAGAAAGTCGTAACAGCACTATGGCACATTTTTTTGAGGGTAAGCACTATGACACTTGACAGTCTAAAACCATGACAGCACACACAAAAGATTGGGGAATCTAACCTGCTCAGCCAGGCAGTTGTGAATTGTGATCATACATATAGAGAGGTAGTATATTTGTGAGAGGGACAGCGCAGAAATTTGTCAAGAGTGATAGGGACGCAGGAGGACTTTTATGTAGAGTGGTAGATGGCAAAATTAAACACATAGGTCGACATAGAGCGCATATACCAGCTAAGTGATGCAGAGGGCAAAGCAGCAGTGAGCTTGATGTCTGGATCACATCGCTAAGACCACCAGAGTGAGTGAAGATTACTTTAAGTAGAAGACAGATAGGATTGGCCCGGGTGTTGGCAGCATGTCCCATCGTGTAGAGCTTACTATCTCTGGTGCCATTTGGATCGATCAAAGCAACTTGTCATAGTCATCCTGTAGAAACTGTATGCTCGATCGGGAAAGAAAAAGAAACATACTCAATGCATATGTGTGTCTCAGATTATCCCTTTTCGTCTGTTTATATTTAAAATCTATGATCCATCTTGTAAACTGTAAGTGTAAAGAGGTTAGAACCTGGTGAAGTTGAACTATTAAGGGTCACAGCAGGTCGTACTGAAAGTTGATACGCAGATACAGAGTTACAGACACAAAGAGCAAAACTTTAAACATGCATAGTAAAACATATGGAATAACTATTATAAAACTAATTTCAGAGAGAGATTACAGGTTATTTATATCGATTTGAATTGTCCATCACCATGAACATCCTCTAGTAGAACACATTGCCCGGAAGGCACATACTAGGTACCATCAAGTACGTAAGGTGATGAACGTGCTAGAAGACCTGATTTTCCTCGCTGAAGATGTGTGCCAATCTGGCAAAGACAACGATTTGATTGGACAATCATGGACACAGGATGTAGTTCTCGAGGAAAATGGTAGCAGCAATGGTGGCTTTTCGTTTTCAACCCAGTTCATGAATGAAGCCTGCGCGTGGGCAGGCGCATGCGGAATCCAAGAGCTCATGAACTCATTGGTCTCACTTATCCATGGGATTCTGCTTCCCCGCTTGGGCCTCAAGTAGCCCATGCGATCTGAGCCATCCATCCTGATCCGACGGACGCCCGTCATTCTCGCGTGAAATAAATCCGACGACCGGCGCACCTAACCCTAACCATAATCATTTCTTTCTTTTCCCTCTCTCTCTACGCCGAGACTCCAGGCGCGCAGCCCGCGATGGTGGCGGGCACCGTGAGGCCTCTCGCCGGGGTGGCTCCCTTCCTTCTCCCTTTCTCCTATCTTTTCTTAGCGCCACATAGAGCGGCCTGCTCCAGAATGGTAGCGCCGCCGTGCCATTCGTTGGCGAGCGCTCACCTGGTAGCCGAAAGGAAGGCGACGGCGCCACCGCGAGGCCTCTCATCGGCAGGGTGAGCGCGCCGCCATCGAGCGGCCGTGTGGCGGTGCCCTGAGCCTTGGCCCGTGCACCGACGACCACAGCGTCGTGCGGTGGCTCAGCATTTGCTTCCCGCGCGGCACCATCCGACGACCGGCGGTGGCGGCCAGCAGGTGAGAAAGGTAGATCCCGCCGGCCCTCTTTCTTAGCTCACTTCGGGTTAGGGTTAGGCGGATTCTCGGTGACTTCCCGCGCGGCGTCGAGGTGACGGCCGGTGGTGGTGATGGTGTGGGCAGTTCCCCTTCCTGTCCTTTCTCGTTTTCTTCCCATGCGCCGGCGAGGCGGCGGTAGTGGTGTGGCGGGTTCAAGGTGAGCCCGCCCGTTTCTTTTCTTCTTTGCTAGGGTTAATCCTCTCTTTCTATTTGCTTCTCTCTTTTCTACCAAAAACTGGATCTACCCACTAGCAACCTATCTCTGATACCATTGATAGGATCTTAAAGTTCTTCTAGGCGTAGATCAGTGGGTAATACTTAGCTTAATGGTAGACTTGGTGATGTACCGCACGTCGAGCGCAGTCGCGGCCATGACGCCGCCTCCGAGGTAGCAGCGACGTGGAGACACGGTCCACTGGCGGCGGTAGAAAGCGATGGCGCTTCGTGTCGCTTACAGCGCGCCCTTCTAGATCGGACTAGGGTTAGGACGCGGTGGGGCGCTGGCGGCTGTGGTAAACCTTGTGTCTTGTGCCCCAGCCCCCACCGTCCTTTTATGGCGCTGCGCGATGGGGGCCCATCAGCCAGAAGAAAGGCTGAGTGCCCCCGATCAGGGCGCGGATCAAAGGCCAAATTGACCGATGAGATCAACCTAACATGCTTCACCCTCTTTGACCGACTTTGTTTCTGATTTTTTGCACCTCTGCCTTTCAGTTTCAGACCTGAAGATTTATCGAACAAACCTGCTGTAGAATCGGTTGTCCTGTAATCAGAGAAAGAAAGAAAAATATTCCATACATTTATGAGCCAGATTGTCCCTGTTCATCAGTTTAAAATCTATGATCGATCTTGTAAAGTGCAAGTGTGGAGACGAAATCAAAACCTGGCGTTGTTGAACACTTGAACTAGCTGTAGTCTCACAGAAAGTCGTACCAGCACTATGGCACTTTTTTTTGAGGGTAAGCACTATGACACTTGACAGTCTAAAACCATGACAGCATAAACAAAAGGTTGGGGAATCTACCCTGCTCAGCCAGGCAGATGTGAATTGTGATCATACATATATAGAGGTAGTATATTTGTGAGAGGGACAGCGCAGAAATTTGTCAAGAGTGATAGGGACGCAGGAGGACTTTTGTGTAGAGTGGTAGATGGCAAAATTAAACACTGAGGTCGACATAGAGCGCATATACCAGCTAAGTGATGCAGAGGGCAAAGCAGCAGTGAGCTTGATGTCTGGATCACATCGCTAAGACCACCAGAGTGAGTGAAGATTACTTTAAGTAGAAGACAGATAGGATTGGCCCGGGTGTTGGCAGCATGTCCCATCGTGTAGAGCTTACTATCTCTGGTGCCATTTGGATCGATCAAAGCAACTTGTCATAGTCATCCTGTAGAAACTGTATGCTCGATCGGGAAAGAAAAAGAAACATACTCAATGCATATGTGTGTCTCAGATTATCCCTTTTCGTCTGTTTATATTTAAAATCTATGATCCATCTTGTAAACTGTAAGTGTAAAGAGGTTAGAACCTGGTGAAGTTGAACTATTAAGGGTCACAGCAGGTCTTACTGAAAGTTGATACGCAGATACAGAGTTACAGACACAAAGAGCAAAACTTTAAACATGCATAGAAAAACATATGGAATAACTATTAGAAAACTAATTTCAGAGAGAGATTACAGGTTATTTATAACGATTTGAATTGTCCATCACCATGAACATCCTCTAGTAGAACACATTGCCCGGAGGGAACATACTAGGTACCATCAAGTACGTAAGGTGATGAACGTGCTAGAAGACCTGATTTTCCTCGCTGAAGATGTGTGCCAATCTGGCAAAGACAACGATTTGATTGGACAATCATGGACACAGGATGTAGTTCTCGAGGAAAATGGTAGCAGCAATGGCGGCTTTTCGTTTTCAACCCAGTTCACGAATGAGGCCTGCACGTGGGCAGGCGCATGCAGAATCCAAGAGGTCATGAACTCATTGGTCTCACTTATCCATGGGTGCTTCACCTTCTTGGACCGACTTTGTTTCTGATTTTTTGCATCTCTGCCTTTCAGTTTCAGACCTGAAGGTATGGGCGGCCATGAGGTCTTCTCGGCCTGAAGGCATGCGCTTCCATGCTTGGACTTCCACAGCATCTGATACAAGCTAGCTGCCACATTCCTGCCAAGACAATCTTCCGCCTTTGGTACCATGATCTCACCTAGCTGGTCAAAGGAAATGTTTGCATAAAAGCCACGTGGCTTTACCTCCCTGTTGATCATCTCTGTCGCTGAACCACCAACTGCAGGCAACATATCTTCAGAAGAGGCATGAGGCCATAAGTGCCCCCCAAGTTTTAGGAATGGAGATTCTCTCGTGGGGCATGTTTCGCCATTGGCCACTGCACTCTGTCTGTTGTCCCCAGCTAACAGTGCGACGTGGCCCAGCAAATGCACTTGGGTAACTTGTTCTAAGTACACATCACATGGTAATGATTCTGATGATGAGCTTTTACTACTAGCATCATACCTCTGCTCGTAGTGACGATCTTGTTGCTGATGACAAACCGGGGTGGGTTGAAACAATTTCCAACGGATGGTGTGAAGATTGTCCCAGTATTCCTTACGGCCAAAAACAGAATAAGCCGCGTCTTGCATCCAGCAAAAGTCATGTGTTGGTAGCTGGGTGAGCTTTGTCTTCACAGTCTCGGCTGTTGAGCCCAAGTGAGGTGTAAATAGCTGCAGGCATCTGACTGCAACCCCAACTATGTTGATACTCTCAGAAAGCCGTAAACTGAGGGAAAGAAAGAAATTATTCTCTGGCGCGTTGCCATCTTCAAGTAGGAATATTAGCATACCCTCCATTCCATGCTCGGGTGGACTAAACGGATGTAGAAGGAATGAGAGATGCTGACCCCCGTGAACAGAGCAATATTTTGTTCCCTTGCCAGAGAGAAGTTGCCTTATCATAGGGTCGAAGAACATGTGTTGGTGTGGTGTGCCACCGAGCTCCACATATCTTAGGAACTCGCTCGCACCGTCTGCATACCGCTCGAAACGGTGGACGGTAGATCCTGTCAGCTCATTGTCGTCGCCGCGACTGAAGAAGGATAAGACGAACGACCTAGCAGTGTGAGCGAGTAGCTTGGGAAAGGCGAATCTCCTTACCCAATGTTGCCTCTCCTCATCTTCTTCCATGCGCTGCTTGCACCTGCGCAGGGTGTGGTCACACTCCTGTGCAGCGCGCTTGAGCTTGCTCCGCCAGCGCAGCAATGGCGCGCCGGTGACGTTCCACTTGTTGGAGGTCTCAAGTGCGGCCTCCAGCTTGATGTGAGCCATCTCCATCCTTTCCATGTGCTCCTTTCCATCTGACCTGTGCCCATACCTCTCCTTCATTTTTGATAAGGCTTGGCTAACCGCCTCCTGGGCCACTGCAGAACTGACCACCTGTGCAGCCATTAGTATTGATCAAAGCAACCTGTAGAATCGAGTGTCCTGCATGCTCAATCGGAAAGAAAGCAAAATACTATCAATATATATAGGAGTCAGAATGTGCATTAAGATTCATCAGTTTTGCAAGTGCAGAGGAAATCAAAACCTGGTGAGGTTGAACTAGTTGTAGGGTTGCTAGCTTCTTAATGTAACGAGATGTAGTAGTCCTATTTATTTGAGAAAAAAGGTTGCAGGGTTGTGACCATTACCCACAAGAGTTTGTGAATTTATCCAGCCCAGCCAGTTGTATGACCATACAAAATACATATCAAGAAGTAAATTATTTGAGAACGACATCGTGGAAATTTGTCAAGAGTCATATGCACACAGGAAGACTTTGAAGACTTTGAGAAGAGGGCAAAGCACTGAGGTCGACATTTGTATCACATTTTCGGAGACCGCCAGAATTAATTGATATATAGACACCACATAGGAAAGCGTCAGGCATGGACCAGAATTATTCATCGCGTAGGACCAACCAGTGTCAAAGTCGACGGTGACTAAACGTAGAAATTTTGGGTGCAAAGCTCGGAGCAAAAAGCAGAACCTGAAGCCGACGGCAAGCCCGCAGCTGCATACCAGTGTCATGGGCGACAAGCAGGGCCGAGGCCACAATTTGGGCATAGGGAGGGTCTTTAAGCCGACAACAATCATATTTAACGAAATACATGCACAGAAAGAATATAAATAACAATTAAATAAATATTTGTGTTATGATATATACATAATGAAGGAAGCAAAAAAGTTTAACAAAAAAACATAAATATTACGAAGAAAAGGGGAACAAAATTAATTAATTTGCCTTAGATCTCTAGCCTTCATCCAATTGATCTCATTCTTAGACCAGAAAAAGGATCATAATAATTAATAATAATAGAAACAAAGAAAATCAGAAATATAATAAAAAGAGTAATCCTAAATAATACTTATGCCATTGAAGATTAATTCGGAGTGAGAACAAACAAGTAAAACACTAATTACATTAACTAACTAGGTTATTGGAGGATGTATGCTAGGGACTAACTAGAACGATGGATAGGCAATACTAAAAAGAATAAAAGATTTGGGGAAAATGTTAGGACACTAATCCGACACTAAATTGTATAAATTGCTATGAGAGAATAACTAATCCATCAATTCATACTCTCGCATGGTTAGAATCTTGTAAGACATAGTTATTATTATTATTTTTGAACTGAAACTGTGGGGAGAAAAAACAGATGATTTTATTGAAAACAGAAACGAAACAAAGGGTATTTACAAGGTAGCCAAAAAGGGAAACAATCCCACAAAGACACAAAGAAAAGAAAAAGAAACATAACAGAAGAAAAATATTAGATTTCATTTAATACCGAACTATTAAAAAATATTTATACTAAATTGTGTATTTTCTCATTATTCTATTTCAAATACAATAGACATAATAAATACTTCATAATATATTGTTTGCAAAATATAATAGCTTTAACAATGGTGTAGCTATGTAATTTGTATGCAAATTTACATAGGTTATTTTCATAATAACATAGGTAGTTTAAATGAATATTTGGGGTTACTCAGATTTTTTTTACTATACCAGATGTGGGGATTTGTCCGTCTACTGCATAACCATGTGTTTTATGCAGTTTCAACATATGATTTTTTTAACAGTAGGATAAAGATCTAACGACCTCCAGGCTTCTTCTACCTCCAGCCTCCAGCCTTCTACCTCCAGACGCACTGCACAACTCGCCCCCGCCGCCGTCCGCCGCCCCGGCCTTAGCCGCGGCTATGTCGGCACAAACCACAAGCAACAACAAATCACAAATCACAGATCACAACAAATAATTTTTTTTTCTATGAATGGACAAGTACAAATCGCGGTTGTGTCAGCACAAATTACAAGCAACAAATCATGGTGGCGCAGGCACGGGCGGGCGCAAGCGGCAGTGCGGGCACGGCGCGGCGAGGCCGCAGCGGCGCAGACACGGGCGGCATGGGTGCAGCGGGCACGGCACGGCGAGGCCACAGTGGTGGCGCGGGCACAGATCGGACGAAGGCGCGCGGGAGCTGGGGAAGATCAGACGGCCTCAAAATCGTGTGTTGGATTGCTCCAAAACACATGGGTGTGGTATAACATTTCTTTTAGATAAATATTTATGGGTTACCTTATGCTACTTCCAGGAGGTAAGTAATAAAGGGATTGAGGGTTACTTAGGCCCTTTAATAATAATGACAAGGGTTGGTAATCTGTATATAGATTTTTGGTGTTACTTTGGTGAATCGAGGGGCAGGCCGGCTGCCGGTGCTGCAGCCCTAGTCCTTGGCTATAAAACTCCATACAAACTTACTTCATCAGCTATAACTGAGACGATGGAACATGTTTCATTTCTAGTGTTTTCACCCCTAATAACAGTATCCCATCGAAAGTTAGTCTACTTTATTAAAAGAAGGCAAGCAATAAGTTTACAAGAGCTTCAGGAAACAAAGAAGGATTAAAGTTATTACATTTAATTTCTTATGGTCATGTGGATACAAAATTATAAAAGGGTCACAATCAATCTCAAAGGAGTCAACCTTAACTCCCACTATAATGCCCTCAGATCAACCTTTTGGAGATGTAGGGTTTACGAGGAGAAGAGCCATCAATAGCAACTTGGGAAATGCAGCAACGATCCTTCCAGTGTTCTTTATTTATCAATTTACAGTTTTCTCCTTTTAGTCACTAAAAATTAAGTAATTACATAACAAGGCTTAGACATACATAAACATCAAAGGAACACGCGAGATTGTCTAACAGGCAACATATACATTGATCTGAATTTTCCGTCATGACAAACTTCGTTTAGGCATACTTAGTAACATCAAATCCTTTAGGCATTGAACATGCTGCACGATTTGATGTTCCTTGCTAAGAATCTGTTATATTGCGAAGAAATCAGCATGATTGGACAACCATCAATGCAGGGATTATTGTTAAATAATAATGGTAGTTGCAATTGCTTTTCTTTCTGAACCCGATCCATGAATATGCCCTGCAAGTGGGCAGGCGCGTGCACAACCCACGACCTCAAGAAATCTTTGTTCGCACCTGCCCATCCCTGTACCTTCTTGCCCAGACGTCGTTTAGGACGTTTTCTACCCATGCCTCTGCCAGTGGTTAGTCCCCATGAGATTTTCTCGACTTGAAGGTATGCACCGCCATGCTTGGACTTCCAAAGCATCTGATATGAGGCAGCTGCCACACTACCGTAAAGGCAATCTACTGCCTTTGGTATCATAAAGTCGCCCAACTGTTCAAAGCAAATTTTTGCATAAAAGCCATGTTTCACGGCCGCCCCATCGATCATTTCTGTTGCCGAACCCTCCACTCCAGGTGACAAATCTTCATAAGCGGCATGGGGATAGAAATGCACTCCAAGTTTCAGATAAGGAAATTCACTCATGGGGCTTGTTTTGCTTCCACCATCAGCGACTGCTCTCTGCATGTTGTTCCCAGCAGACAGTGTGACATGGCCTAGCAAATACACTTGGATAACGGGTTCCAAGTATAAATCACATGGCAATGATTCTGACAATGAGCTTTTGGAATTGTAGCTCTGATAGTAGTGATGATCTTGTTGCTGGCAACAAACAGCCTGTTCGTTTGGCTGTGGCTTGTCATAAACAATCGTAAATTTTCAGCCGGAACAGTATTTTTCTCTCACACAAACTAGCCAGCAGTACTTCTTCACGAACCAGCAACGATATGAACCAGTCAACCGAACAGGCTGAAGGAGGGTTCGGTCGAAACCATTTGGACCAGACGATGGTGTGAAGATTGTTCTGGTGTTCAACACAAAGGCCAAAAATAGGATAAGCATTGGACACCCAGCACAAGTCTTGTGTTGGTACCTGAGTGAGCTTTGTCTTCACAGTCTCTACTGTTGAGCCTAAGTAATAAGGTATGAACAGGTCTAGGCATCCGACTGCAATCCGGACTATGTCTGTACTCTCTGAGTGCCGTAAGTTGAGGGCAAGAAGGAAATTATTGTCTGGTGTACTGGTATCTTCAACTAAGAATATTAGGCCAACCTCCATCCCATGCTCTTGTAGTGGACTACAGGGTTGTAGAAGAAATGAGAGATGTTGACCATTGCTAACAAAGCAAAACTTTGTTCCTCTCCCAGCGATAAGATGGCGTATAAGAGGGTTAGAAAACATGCATCCGCGTGGTGTTCCACCAAGCTCCACATATCTCAAGAATTCGCTCGCACCATGTGCAAACCGTTCGAATCGCCGGGCTACAGTGGATCCTTTCAGCCCATCATCGTTACTGTGACTAAAGATTAATGAAACAAATGACATGGCAGTATGAGCAATCCTCTTTGGAAAGGAGGAGCTCCTTACCGCTTGCTGTACTTCTTCCTCTTCTTGCAAGCGCTGCCTACACCTGCGCAGAGTGTTGTCGCACTCCTGTGAGGCGCGCTTGAGCTTGCTCTGCCAACGCAGCAGTGGCACGCTGGTGACGTTCCACTTGTTGGAGGTCTCAAGGGCGGCCTCCATCTTGATGTGTGCCATCTCCATCCTCTCAATGTTCTCCTTTGCATCTGACTTCTCCTGATAACCCTCCTTGATTCTTGGTAAGACTTGGTTAACAGCCTCCTGGGCCACTGCAGAAACGACCATCTCTGCTGCCATTAAGATTGATCAAACAAACCTGCTGTAGAATCGCTTGTCCTGTATGCAGAGGACGGAAGAAAATTATTCGGTACATATATGAGCCAGGTTGTCCCTGTTCATCAGATTAAAATCTATAATCGATGTTGTAAAGTGCAAGTGCGGAGAGGAAATCAAAACCTGGCGTAGTTGAACACTTGAACTAGCTGTAGTGTCACAGAAAGTCGTACCAGCACTTTGACACTCGACAGTCTATCCTACTCAGCCGGGCAGTTCTGAATTGTGATCATACATATAGAGAGGTACTTCCTCGCCAAAAAAAAAAAAAAAATAGAGAGGTACTTTATTTGTGAGAGGGACATCGCAGAAATTTGTCAATAGCAATACGGACGCAGGAGGACTTTTGTGTAGAGTGCAAAATTAAACTCTGAGGTTGACAAAGAGTGCATATACCAGCTGACTCTAAGTGAAGATGTACAGAGGTTGATGACATAATTGTGCCGAGCTCCTCCCAGGATGCAGTTTTGGCCTTGCTAAATGATCTGAAGTCTAAGTTCCAAACCCCGAGGTAAGACTGTCACCAATAAGGAACCCATATGGTCACTCAAACCTAAAATGGATAGCAAAAGATCCAAAATCAGCCTCCAACAGAGTACCTATACTGAAGACCTATTTTGGGTTGCCTGAGAGACACAATCCAAATATGCACTACTGGAAAACTGTACTTTGCCGAGTGCCTGAGACTTTGCCGAGTGCTTTTTATCGGGGCACTCGGCAAAGTAATATTTTGCCGAGTGCCGCACTTGGCAAAATAAAGCACTCCGTAAAGGTGGCTTTGCCGAGTGCCAGGCACTCGGTAAAGCCTGGCTCTCGGAAAGGTGGTCGGCCCGTGACGGCGGCCACCTGCCGTCAGATTTTGCCGAGGGCCTAACGGCTGGCACTCGGCAATTTTTTTTTTATTTTTAAAAACTTATTTTGCCGAGTGCTAGACCAAGGCACTCGGCAATTTTTTTTTTAAACAATTTTTTACCACAGCGTCCACATGCGATAACATGACGCCTCGACAAGTTTCGTGATTTTCAGACTTCGTTTGCATTTTATATAATTTAAAATCACATTTCCGGCAATTACCTCGACATGTTATGTCAACGAGATGCTCGAGATTTCATGTGAGTTCCTGGATACAGCCTAAACATACCCTAAATATCATGAGTATCAATTTTTGGATGACCAAAGTCCATTATTCCATGTACCTGCAGTTCAAATTTGAAATATCCCGAAAAATTCGACGAAACGAAATAAACTAATGAAATATATCAAAAAAAGTCAAAATTCCCCAAAATTTGACAATAAAGTTTGAAATACTGTCACAAGGCCCTAGAAAAAATTTGGGCCCAAAATAAAAAAAAATTGCCGAGTGCCATCGGGGGCACTCGGCAAAGATGATTTTCAAAAAAAAAAAAAATTTGCCGAGTGTCTGGCGCTGGCACTCGGCAAAATAAGTTTTAAAAAATTAAAAAAAAATTTTGCGAGTGCCGGCCCAGGGGGCACTCGGCAAAGTTGATTTTCAAAAAAAAAAAAAATTTGCCGAGTGCCAGGGCCCGTGGCACTCGGCAAAGAATTTAAAAAAAAATAAAACAATTCTTTGCCGAGTGCCCCTTTCTAGAGCACTCGGCAAAGGCACAATAGAAAATGGGCTGCCGGCCCAAAATCTCCCCCCCACACCAGAACCCTATCTCTCCCTTGCGCCTACCGCTTGCTTTGGTCGGTCGACGCCTTGGCAAGATCCCTAGCTTGCCCACTGGCCTGCCTGCCTGCCTGCCTGTGCCGCCACGCCCGCTCGCACGCCGCCCCACAGACGCTGGTGAGCCCCCACCACGCATCGCTCGCCCAGCAGCACCCCCAGCCAGCCACACGCCTTACTGCCTGCTGCCCCAGCTGTGCCGCTGGCCGTCGGCGTTGCCGCCGCTCGCCGTCATGGCGTGCTACCACCGGCTGGCCCATCCATCCTCCCCAGACTTGCTGGCCCCGTGCTCCCCTGGTCTTGCCGTCGGCTTGGAAGAAGGAGGAGGAAGCAGCAGTAAGAAGAAGAAGGGAGGAGAAGAAGGAAGAAGAAGGAAGAAAAAAGAGGAGAAAAAAGAGAAGGAAAATGAAGAAGAAGGAGAAGGAAAAAAGATAAGAAAAAGGAAGAAGGAGGAGGAGGAGAGGAAGCAGGAGGAGAAGGGGAGACGGGGAGAGGGGGAGGAAGCCGAGGTGGAGGGGAGGAGGAGGTGCCTCGGCCGTCTTCTCCGCGTGCTCGTCCCGCCGACGCCCCTACCGTCACCGAACCGCCTACGAGCGTGGGCAAGGTATATCCACCCTTTCTCCGCTCGTCGGCCTTCGTGCCGTTGTGATGTTGGCCTTCGTGCCGCTGTGCTTATCGGCCTTCGTGCCATTTGTGATTGTCGGCCTTCGTGCCATTGTTTTTTGCAGGTGTATTTGCTAGGCCATGTCACACTGTCTGCTGGGAACAACATGCAGAGAGCAGTCGCTGATGGTGGAAGCAAAACAAGCCCCATGAGTGAATTTCCTTATCTGAAACTTGGAGTGCATTTCTATCCCCATGCCGCTTATGAAGATTTGTCACCTGGAGTGGAGGGTTCGGCAACAGAAATGATCGATGGGGCGGCCGTGAAACATGGCTTTTATGCAAAAATTTGCTTTGAACAGTTGGGCGACTTTATGATACCAAAGGCAGTAGATTGCCTTTACGGTAGTGCGGCAGCTGCCTCATATCAGATGCTTTGGAAGTCCAAGCATGGCGGTGCATACCTTCAAGTCGAGAAAATCTCATGGGGACTAACCACTAGCAGAGGCATGGGTAGAAAACGTCCTAAACGACGTCTGGGCAAGAAGGTACAGGGATGGGCAGGTGCGAACAAAGATTTCTTGAGGTCGTGGGTTGTGCACGCGCCTGCCCACTTGCAGGGCATATTCATGGATCGGGTTCAGAAAGAAAAGCAATTGCAACTACCATTATTATTTAACAATAATCCCTGCATTGATGGTTGTCCAATCATGCTGATTTCTTCGCAATATAACAGATTCTTAGCCATACAGGGGAGGTGCTGCCGAAATTTTGAACTTATAGTGTCGTGTTTCTTCTTTTGCAGAGCAGGACCTGTCGGAGGTGACCTGGAGGTCCCCGATCGTCTTCATCGGTGTCGCGGGTCTGCCTGCACTGCGTCGCCTCGCCACTGTGTCGACTCGCCACTGCCTCGCTAGCCTAACTTCACCGACACCCTAGGTATAAATCACCTCTTTTTCTGCTTGTCTGTCATCGTAGATCGGTGTAGCCCAGTTAGGCGTCTCCCGTCCGAAAGAGATATCTTTGGAGGTATGCGGATCTTTGCATATCTGCAAGCGTTTCTGTTTCGGATTGTCCACGTTTTTTGGACAGCCCGCGGATGCGTAGATGGGTTAGTTTCCATGGTCCGCTCCGGTCCGAGATGGTGTTTCGGCATCACCAACCTGTTGTTCTCCGGATACATACTCTTCCTTGCAGGACGTGTATCGGGAGAACAGCAGGGAGGTGCTGCCAAAATTCAGTTTCGGATAGGAGCGGAGCATGGAAACTAACCTCATCTATGGATTCACGGGTGGGATTAGGACCTATCCTCACCTATTAGAGAGTAGGGACACCGCATAGATGCAATTGATGGTGACTCATATGTGCTGATACGTCTGTTAAAGGATGGAGGACCGTGAGTGGATGTACATGCTCTGGAGAGACGAGCATGATTATGACTTGCTGTTTATAGTCAAGGTCGAAGAATTCTTACAGCATGCATTTGGTGAGAGTGCTGGAGGCCATTCTCTAGTGGTTTGTCCGTGCAGCGGTTGTGACAACAGAAGAAGGAAAGATAGGTTAACGATGGGTAAACATATTGTGAAGTTTGGATTTACTCCGGGCTACCACCGGTGGATCCACCATGGTGAAGCCGATCGTATCAGGGAGGAGGTGGTGAGACCATGGCTCGAGGCTGTCGATGATGATGCTGGGGTAGCAGACATGCTGGATGACACGCACCAAGCTCAGTTCGCTGAAGGACGTGACAAGGAGGAGATGAAGGCTACCGCAGATGCCTTCTACCTGATGTTGGACTCGGCACAGAGACCCCTTCATGATCATACTAATGTTTCTCAGCTGGATGCCATTGGTCGCGTAATGGGGTTGAAGGCTAAGTTAAACCTAAGTCGAGAAGGCTTCAACAAGATGGTGGCCGTGTGGAGCGATATGCTACCGAAGACACACATTATGCCGAAGAACTTGTACGAGTCAGAGAAGCTCCTTCTTGCACTTAAGATGCTGTATGACAAGATACATGTGTGTCCGAAGGGGTGCATCCTATTTAGGAAAGAACACGCGGATGCAAAGTACTGCCCGAAGTGTAAATCCTCTAGGTACGTGGAGGTAGACTCAGGCGATGGCTAGAAGAGGTAGCTTAAGATCCCCATGAGAGTCCTACGACACCTTCCATTCCTACCGAGGCTCCAACGGCTATTCATGACCGAGAAATCCGCGAAACAGATGACATGGCACAAAAACAGCACACGATACAATCCTGAGAAGATGGTACATCCATTTGATGCTGATGCATGGAAGTACTTCAATTCGCGGCATCCTCTCAAAGTAGAGGAGGCTCGTAATGTACGCGTCGCGTTGGCAACAGATGGGTTCAATCCATATGGCATGATGGCTGCACCATACACATGGTGGCCCGTGTTCGTCATCCCCCTGAATCTCCCCCCAGCGTCTCCTTTCAACGGCATACCGTGTTCCTGTCGTTGATAATCCCTAGACACCTGGGGAGTAATATGGGTGTCTTCATGGAGCCTATGATAGATGAGTTGATCGATGCTTGGGTCAAAGGGGTGTGAACATATGACCGAGCTATGAAGACTAGCTTCAAAATGCACGTCTAGTACCACTACTCCCTGCACGACTTCCTGGCGTATGAGTTAATGTG